GTCTGTGAGAGCCAGAAATCTTGTTTGTTTGTAGGTGACCAAATACTTATTTTCCACCATAATTTGCAAATAAATTCTTTAAAAATCAGACAATGTGATTTTCTGGATTTTTTCTCCTCATTTTGTCTCTCATAGTTGAGGTATACCTAGGATGAAAATTACAGGCCTCTCATCTTTTTAAGTGGGAGAACTTGCACAATTGGTGGCTGACTAAATACTTTTTTGCCCCACTGTATATACAACTAATGCTACAGATCTGCAATAAATTCTACCTTCATTAGAAATATAATAATACATCAGTCTTTAGTGCTTATGAGTTTTCAAAGATGCTTATATACATTTGGATAAAATGAAATAAAATAAAGTGGTTTTAAATTTAAAAAAACATGAAATTTAGGCAGTTACAGGTATAGTGCTTGTCATTGGCCCAACCTGTTAACATCAGTGAGGGTAGAGGAAATATAATTCAGACAAGAGCATTCAAAATGTCAATTAAATTGACCTTAAACAGTTCCAACAAATAATGACCATTAGAACCTTCATAAAGGTTTGCTGATGTACTGTTGTATTACATTTAATTTGTAATTAGACATACCAAATCAAAATGCATGTTTCCATGGTTTTGCAACAGCTACAGCTTGAATAGTGTCTGAGAAGTAGAATAAGACTCCAACTACAGAAAGACATTTCAGTATTCAGTCAACATTTGATGCGATAAACAAACAGCAGCAGTAAAGACAGTAGGTACCTGCATTTGGTACCACCGGGGACAATACACTTTCACAATTAAAATAGCAACAAATTAAAATATGCATCATTAATAGCAAATATTTATTTGTTATAAAATACAGAATTTTACAAAATACAAAGACTTTGGCTCGTGTATTTGTGGCTTACACCTACGCAAGTGATATTCACAGTTGAATACGAAAGAAGATGCTAAAATCCTATTAAATACAATTTGAGTGTACACCAATACAACATATATATCTTTGGAAAAACTGTGTCCACAAAATATTGTCTTGTATCATACAAAACATAGGTATATAATTCTATATGGTTTGAAGCGACGCGCTATGGCACAATTTTAAATGAGATAAACTATATCATAAAATCAATCCTGCAGCTTTCAACCTCTTCAGGGAAAATGTTCATTCAAAGTGCATGATACCTCATTCAGTTAACATGAGACACTGACTGACTGGCCATTAGTACCACATTACATTCAAAAATGTCACAGGTTCTTCGAAAATAAATCCAAAACAAACGTACGTTGATTTCTTGTTTTCGTTTAAGATCTACATAATTCTTTTCCAATGTTATCAATTGCAGTCATTTATGCAGTGCTGATGTATTCCCTTAGGAGGTAACTGAAAATATGACACATAATTCCTTTTACCACCAACGTTTGGTAAGGTTTTAAGGTGTTTAAAATTGAATATTTCAGCAGGCTGTTAATTTGTTTAAAAAAATAGTTATTTATAAAATTGATATTTCAAGTAAGCTCAAGCCACAATCCAAGATTTCTGAGTCCGTTAGTAACGGTAATATACATATTATATGACTCAAGAGGAAGGACTTTCTGATTGGTAATCATTTGTTCACCTTTTAACTCCACTGCCCGGATCAAAGAACACCGAGTGGACAGATCATATTCGGTTGAATTGATGAAAAATGGTGCCACAGGTAGAGCTATAGTCCAAATTAATATTATACCTTTAAAAGCTGTGTAACCCACAAAGTATATGGACAGTTGTAGTATCTGAAATATATATTTTACACTATTAAATGGAAAATTCATCCCAAATAAAAAATGCACAAGTTTCACTCTTGCGTGTAGTTATATTGATCAATATAGGTTGTTTTGATGTGAGAGTCAGCTGAACAAATCAAGCAATCTGTTATTTTTTCTTTCCACAGCATAAAAAGGAAAGCGTACATCTACTTACAAATGAGGCTCTGGTGAGGCAGCTACTATTACAGCTAAGCTGAATAGGACGCTTATTATCTCAAGCGTCACAACCACCAGGTGTCATTTGGTTGGACGGTGTAGTTGGGTACAAAGATATCGCTACGGCAACTTGAACCAAAACAATCCAGATTGATAAATAGCACATAGGGTAAGAGAAAACATATACATTTTTGATTTTGGATGAACTATCCCTTTAACCTACACAAAAATACATACATTAATAGTTAAGCAGTTAGAAACCTCATTTTTTCTTCTTGTCTTGGGTGCACCTCGGACAAAACCTGAAAGATTTGAGAGGGGAGTGTTAAAGATGTTTGAACATGGAGCACAATCCTGACTAATATGCATTAACAATGATTGTGTTTTTTTCAACTCTAGGCTAACATCCTGTAACCAATAGAAAGTTCTTACCATTTTCCTTTTGGTTTTGAGGCGAGATCAACACAAGCAAAATGAAACCACTCAATTGGACACTGAAGGATGAAAAACATTGTCAGTATGAATAATCTCTCATCAAAACATGCAGTCAAACTGGTGTTGTATTAGAGAAACGTGTCAAATGTCATTTAAGCGAGAAAGAAAACTATAAAAACAACCCAGAAAACCTACATCTGGGTTATCGCATCCAATCATCTCTCCGTATGACACCTGGTGGCACAGGCAGTACGTCGGCTCATTGGGATCGACTGGCATGTCCAAAACGTCTGATGGTTGCATCGGCAAGAAAGTGTCGCTCAACTCTGGGCTAGAACACAAATATAAAACAGAGCACAATTAGAATAAAAAAGAAATGGGGCAAAAATAATGAGTTATGTGTCTTCTGTATTAAAACAGTTACGAATTATAAAGGCTTGATACAAATGTGTAGTGCAGAATCTTTGGTAGTCATTGGCAACCAGTCCAAAAGTACCTGTTTTTTATCTTTTTCTTTTTGGGAGAATCTTCATCAGAACATTTCTTTGCCCTTCCTCTCGAAGCACGCTTGTCTTTCAGCCCTCTGGATTCACCCTCTGTGAAAATAACATTTACATTAATATATGTTCATCGTTCTGTTTTGTCTTTTAGGAAAGCTTTTCAGAGACCCAACATACTTTTCAATGCTCTTCCTTCTGTACTTTCATAGCCGCTCACTTCCAATTTCTCCTTTAGCTCATTCTCAAAACGTGCCAGATCTGCATCAAGTCTACGGATATGTTTGTCCACCTGCAGTGAAAAGATTTTAAGTAGATTAGAATAAGAACACAAATGTTTATGCATGCCGTCAATTAGACTTTTTTTTAAATAGAAAATATGTGCGACAGTGAAGAGGAACACATAGAACTGACTGACTAACGGTCAATTCTATGAGTTTTGGACTGACCATTTCATATGTCTGCATTGCAAGCTGGACTTTGTCATCGCTGAACTCTTTGCACTTGCTGTAGGCATGTTGGATCTTCTGCAGGTGTTCCACTCTCTGCTCAGAGGCCAGGTTCTTCACTTTTGCAATGTACTCCTGAGCCAGTTGGTCAATCTCGCCTTTCTTTTCTGCAAAACAACATGATTATTACAATACAGGAATACCAGTATAGATGGGATGATGTTTGCGTTGTTATTGATTAACTTGATGGGATTTAATAGTCACCTTCAGTCCTGTTGTCAAGGTCCCGCATTAAAGTAAAGTTTCTCTGTAGCTCACATGGCAAGTTTTCAATACCTAAAAAAGGAAATCACCATAAGTATGAAGGAGACATAGAGAAAGATAAAGACATTTTACATATGGGTGTTTACCATTCAACTTTCTCTTAACTTACAAGAACACAACATTTAAAAAATGTATACATTACAAAAACACAATACAAGCTGTTAAAGTTTGGTTGTTTTGGAGTTGAATTGAATAACTTTATTGTTAAAACCTTTAGGTGAGTTAAAGCTTACAGTACGTGAACGTGACGTAATTCAAATACCCCGCCCCGGCGCGTAACTGCTTACGGGAAACGCGGCTTATCAACAGGTTGCAAATACATGGTGCCTGCCTTCCTAAAGCAATCACACATTATGACTAAAATGAGCATAATTTGAACATGTATTAATATTGATTGTGACGACAACATGCAACAATAACAATCTTATAAAAAGCAGTGTTCGTTTCTAGGTCATCTAGATAGCTGTTGTAACAGAAGCCGTAGTAAACAGTAACCGCTCACGTTAACTAAAAGGGGTTACCGTTTAATACTCGACATTGATCCAGATATTTGTTAGATCACAGCGAGTGAGTTTAGCACTAAACAGATAAAGTTTGCGCAACTTTGTACCACCGACGGCGATGCTAATAGCTAGCGAGCTAGTGACCGAACAGATGCTAATTCGATCTAGGATGCTATCTGCCTGTCCCCTATCAAGCACAAAAGTATCCAATACAGGAAAACTCAACCTCAAAGACACGGAAGACGCTTTAAATGTTAATACTAGATTGTATATCCGAATACTCACTGTCAAGATAATGTTCCAAGTATATTGCCGTCGCCATTTCACGTTAGCTGTGTAGCTTTTGTGGTATTCCCGTTAGCACGGTTAGCTCGCAAACTGTTGGCCGGACAGTTGATAGGCTTGTTTTATAACCCTGGGTCGCCCGGCGGACAGTCGCATGGAGACACTTGATTGCAGTTCAGATTCCCTGTGCGGCAGTGAAACTATGCTCTCAGTGCTGCAGTCACGAATACTGAGTTTCCCCCCAGTGCACACACAGGATGCAACTTTTTTTGCTAGCGTTTCGCATGCGCATCGGAAAGCCTTATCTCCAATGGCTGTGTGCAAATGTGTTAATGTATTTAAATCAATTCGCCTGTCAATCATAAACCTGATTATTGATATCAATATGCAGGGTACGCATCCGATCTTGACTGTTACAGTGCTTACTACAGCGAACGTGTCTAATGTACTTGATCACACTTCCCTTTGCTGTGTGTTGTTGACTCGATTTAGTGCACATCTAATTTACTCAGGGAAAGATAACCCGAAGGACTGTTAGACTTGTAAACAACTATATTCCAATTATTTGATGGCGGGGGCACTGCATTAGGTCGATAAGGTCCAAGTATGCTTCGGTGTGAACCATATTGGACCTCTATTTACAAAAAGTCAGCCTACTGCACACCATGTGGGCGCGACGTGAACAGACAAACGAGCGCGCCCTCGCTGGGTTTGCTCGCACTTTCCAACTCTGTCAGCTGATAGGTTACGTCATTCAAAACAAACGCCTCCTTCTTGAAAAGGGATTGAACGTTTGCGAGGATGCGCCGCGGGAGGGGTTTAGGGCAACAACCGTAGAGCTCATAGCTGCGGCCTGCAGGCTGTGAACACTCTCCTTACGGTTCAGGCTTTTTGAATCCAAGGAGGGCATCTTCTTTTTCTGGGCATTTCACTTTGCTGTCTCCTCAAAAACGGCTCATCTTTTCATAAAACCTATACAATCTTCAAGTAAGTAACGAAATAACACTTTGCCATTATCAAATAAAATACTGTTGTAAGGAGAAGTGTCGGCGTTTTTAGCTAACTTTAAATTAGCGGTTAATAGTCAGCTTGCTACTCACTCGCTTTACCGTTAGCTAACTTTGACTAGTGTAAGAGAAGAAACACAACAGCTTATTTGTGGCTTCAAGTCATTATGGGGTTACATGCCGTAACTTCATCAGTATTGCACGTTAGCTCTGCAGTCCAACTTGTATTAATAATAAATGAGGATGACCTATTCACAACTGGCCTATTGTTAGGCCATCTAGCTAAAGGTGCCAACCTACGACCAACATAATAAACTACCAAATGTTTGCCAAAACAGGATGTGATATTCCTGGCAGTGACAATTATCTAACATTATCATCGATTAACGTTATTATTGAATGCCATGGTGTCAAACGTATTTGCTCTTTAGAAGTTGCAAAGTAAACATTCGGGATAATCTGAGACTCTAAATCAATAAACTGAGTCATCTGCAAAGAAGACCATCCTGTTTACGTGTTTAAAGCTTATCTATTTAACAAGTTCTGAAAATGTCAGTGTGGACAGTCACGAGGTATGTTTAGCTATGCCACGCCCAGCCATCACCCCTAAATGTGTCATAAATGACAAATACTGACTGATACTTACATACTGTATATTTAATTGTTTTAGGTGTCACCTCCAAGATGGCTATGGTAAAGAGTGGCTGGCTCCATCGACAAAGTAAGTAAACTGTCACAGTCCTAACAGATTACCATTTGGATTTAAGGCATTACTTCCTGTGGTATTTGGGTTGAGATCTTGTATAATGAAATTCTGTTTGTTTTTAACTTGCCTATTTTGTATTTTCAATAAAGGTACCATACTTCGCCGGTGGAAAAAAAACTGGTTTGACTTGTGGGCTGATGGACGACTTGTGTTTTATAATGATCAACAACGGTGTGACATGGAGGATGACATCCACATGAGAGTGGACTGCATTAACATCCGCAACTCTGCCGCTTGTCAAGGTACTTGTCATCTGTTTCATGAAGATGTAATTGGCTCGTATTTAGTATGAGTTTCACCAACTAATGTTCATATTTAAAAAAAAATGTGTCACCTCTCTATTTGTTCTGCTTCTCAGAGCTGAACCCACCGGAGGGGAGGATGCGTGATGCCTTGCTGCAGATAGTGTGCAGAGATGGACGGGTCATCAGCCTGTGTGCAGACAGTGCAGATGATGCTCTGTAAGACTCTTTCTGTTTCTGTATTGGTGAAGTTTAATGTTTTAGTTTTACTGTGTTATATTTCCAGAATAGAGGACCTTCCACTAAGAATCTTGCAAAAGCACCACTTTACATGTTGTGTTTATGTGCGTATACATGTATTGTAAATAAGTCATTCAGCATTTAAAAAACAACAACGAACCAAGTAAGGAAATCTTGGTCAACTAAGACCTAAATGACCAAGAAGTCCTCTGATTGGCTGAGAGAGGGAAGACTTATTTCTTCTGTCTAACATGTCATGGTTCACACTTTGTGTTGCAGGGCATGGACCATGGCACTTCAGGATGCCAGAATCAATGCAGTGAGTTTCATATTCTATTAGTTGGTCTGTTTTAATCGGCTTTATTATGAAAATAAATAAATATTGATAATATATTTTTTCAAAGATTTAAGACAGTCTTAAAACATGAAACTGGAAGTCAGATATATTTCTTCATTTGATTCTGGCTTTATGAACCACTTTTTAATAATACTTATGATGTTAACCTCAGTGCAGTAGAATAAACATGATTTAGCTCAGTTTTATTAATGATCATTCTCAGCTTTTAGTTAATCTCATTTCTGGTGTTTTAAAAAAATTGTTTAGGTGGTAGCTACCCCTCAAATCGGCTATGCACAGGAAGTGATTGCAACTGCTCCTCCCCCATACTCAGAATATGCTCCCCCACCACAGGTAAAATATATTTACATTATTTATGTTGTGTCAATTTTGTAAAAAGATTTAGATTAATACTGTTTTTTTTAAAACTGGTAATGTATTTCAACCCTGGAAATGATTTTGACCTACCATAATTAACTTACAACATTTTTAATTTGCACTGAAAGTCACATTTATTTACATTTTATGTTTGACTGCACATTAAGGCTTGGTTTTGCTTGCAATGGAAACAACTGTTACTACATAAGAACAAATACAGTTGGGCCTTGTACCATCTACTGGTGTAGTAATGGAAGTGTATAAGCAGGGAAAGCAACAATTAATCAAATTACTCCTTTAGTAATGTGACAGGCTTGCTAGTACTGGCATCTCTAAGATTAACAGTGTTTTTATGGTATGTCTTTTTTCAGCAGGGTTATGCCCCGGGTCCATATGGAGACTATGTTGCACCTCCACCACATGCTGCACAGATCGTATACTCTCCGGATGGGCAGCCCTACGCTGTAGCTTATCCCTATCAGTACCAAGGTAAATGACTGCACATGTAGCATATGTGTGTAATGATCCATTAATCTGGATCAATATATTGATGTAATGATCAATGATCCCATACCACCACCAATGCAAAGTTAAAACCTCAATTAATATCATCTTTAAAACACATTTATTTAGATTTTGTTTAAATGATAAAAAACATTTGAACTTAAATATGAGAAATGATTATATATAGTACACAACAGGATGTCAAACCTTTAAAAATAGTTGATTTGTTTTCATTGAAATGCCTCGTAATCAAATTATCGTTACATTATTGCTATTGTTCTAGGTGGATATCCCGCTCCTGGAGTGAACCACGTTGTTATTCGGGAACGCCAGCGCGAGGACGGGGGAGATGTGGCTTTCGGCATGCTGGCTGGAGCAGCGACTGGTTTGGCTCTGGGCTCTCTCTTCTCTGTCTTTTAGTGTGGTGATTAATGTACTAGCACACACCCCCTGTATTAGCAGCATTTGGCTTCTTCTCTGTGCCGTCACATGAGTCGGAGGAAAATGTGTCTGTTGGGCTACTTTCATCTATGAAGCATGATTGCGATGGGCAGAGAAACACTCCCAATGTGTTCTATATATCTACACACAGTAAATACTGTTAGCACTTTGTGGTATTTTCCCAACCCGTTTGTGTTGTCTGAAAAGGATAGTTCTTAACCAAAAATACAACATTTACTCACTTTTTTAAGAGTTATTTAAATGAAAAGCAAGACGCTACTCCTTTTACTGTAAGTAGTGTACAGATCAGGTTCTCGCTATTTTCAAGTTTTGTTTCTGTTTCATGGAGCACAATTGTCCTTTTTAACATTTGCAGAATTATCCTAAAAGCCATCAATTGTTGTTTTATTTAAGTTGTTCTTGTCTTACTTTTGCCTTTGTGTACTCTACCTTTTCTTTGTTTTACACTTGATATTTGGCTGTTTTGGGTTATGCAGTGTTTGTCAGGTTATTTGTGGTGGAGGCACTCGAGATGAGAGTTGGGCAAAACAGGATCACACACACAAAAAGCAATAATCATTTACATTGTAGCATTTTGAGGTACGTGTTAGGAGGAATCTTGCTGGGATGTCTGATGTTGTCACCACCACAAATAAGTCTTTGTACGAGGGAAACATTTGCATTTACACGATGTGCTTTGATGTGAAAAGGGACGTCGCTCCTCCTAACTCATATTTGCAAGCATTATTTATTTTTTCGTTTTTCATTGGCAGCTCTTGAACCATGCTTTTCAATTTGTGTTTGAACATATAGTTTGGTTTTTATTTCAGTAAGCTTGGTGTGATATGCACAAATACCAATTAGTATCTTGAGATTCTCCTATTAAATATGTTACTTAAGACTTCATTTATTCAGTAAGAAATAGCAACTTCTGCTAAATAGAAAACACGTTTGCCTTTATTTATAAAAACACTTCATATCTTTACTGATCACATTAACGGAAGAGATGTTCAAGACTTCAAATTATGAGCTTGTGCAAGCAGCGTAACATTGATGTCTTTTATATATATATATATCTGTTAAAGATTTAAACTTACATGTTGTATTTATCCTATCAAATGTACTAAATAAAGTACCATCATTTAGAATATATATGGCAATTAATTAAGAGATGTATTTTAACAATAAATATATTCGTAACATTAATAAAGACTCCTGTAGTTTTGTTTGAGTCGTTTATTCAACCCTGAGACTTTCGTTCACAGAACATGTCATATAGAATACAACAAAAGTGCAAAAGGCCACCATAACCAGTTTCTTTTATACAACCAGTCAGTAAGAAAGAGAAACTTGATATAAAGACCTTTCAAACCAACTGAGCATAATGACAGGATCTTAAAGTGATTAGGAACATAAGGTTAACACAAGGTTTAAAGGTTGAAACTATACTGTAATAGTGAACATTCAGTAACTCACAAGAAAACCAGAAGGCCCTTTTAAAGTGGTTAATGACAATTTGTATATAGAGAAATGCAAACAGCTACTAAAAGGTTATTTAAATGTTTAGAAGAGTAACTCTTGTTAAATTTGACGGTATAAATACCCATTTATTAAAGCCAACCACCAAACTTATTCTGTTAAGCAAAATATAACTCCCCTTAAACTATAAGAAGAGGTATGTAGTGTTGAAAATGTGCATTTACGAAATTCAGCATCATTATCTGCTATTTTTGAACAGTGATGATAAAGGTAGCTCTTAAACAAATAAAGAATATTGTCACTTTGACATGAAAATAAAACCAATACGTAAATAAAATATGTAAACATGAGCAGTTTGAAAAATGTCTGATGGACAGTACATAAACAGTTGATTATTTAATTGGCAGAAAATCCTCAATTAAAGTTGTTAGTCAATTCTCCAGGAAAACAGCAACTTTGTCTTTAATTAAACCTCAATATTAGCTTGCTTTCTGTTGGCTCACATCCCTGGGAAATATTTTCTTTGTCTTATTTTTGTAGCAAAACAGATTAAGAAACAAGCGTAACTGACATTGAAAAATAAGGGTTATTTGCAGTTTCATTGATAATTAGAATGTGTATTATTAGCCTTCTTGACCAAAATCCTCAGTAAATTTCCTCAGCTTCCCCAAATCCTCCTCATTCACCGTGGGCTTGGTGCTTGTCAGTGACCTCAGCATGTACGTCTGCACGGGAAAAAACACAGAGGTCACAATAAATGCTGAGCACTGCAGTCATCTGTGTTTATCAAGAACACTGATCGACACAACATGCACATTGTTTTCCTTTATGCGGAAAATTTCAAGTTTATTCTTACCATGGACACAACTGGCTCTAGAAGTTTCTCCCCAGGAACGTCCATCCACTTCATCTCTATGGCGTCGGGATCGCTCGGTAAACATGGAGTCAGGAGGTCGTCCACCACAACGCCGGGTTCTTTCCACGATGACCCACTCACCTAAATCAGGAAGAGTTTGAGTGTGAGTGAATACATTCTGAATATTTGTTAATACACTCCGACAGGCTAGTTAAGTGTGTGACTGAGAAATATTTTAACTTTTTAGTATCGTCTCAATACGATTTAGAAAGGAAAATATTTGTTTGTAAATTATACAAATATTTTTGACCATATACCTCAATATTGATTCTAGAGTTGGCCATTGGTGCTTTTTTTACAAAATACTTACAATGACAATTTTGCTTTATAATCATCAGTAATGTGGATATAATGACGTGTCAAAACTGAAGTCACTTAACTGTTATGGCAGCTTTAAAACCAGGAAAACATTTAATTTATGCCATAATACGATAAACGATGATATATAATATTGATTTCTGTCGTCTCCTGCAACAATGTTGAGTCATTCAGTCCATGAAGATGGTCCTGACGTCCACTAGAATGGACATTTATAAAATAGCTGCTATTTCAAAACTTGAATTATTGAATTGCTTTCAGAACTAATTATATAGTTCCTCACATGTAAATAAACAAGAACATGTATGATTTTCACGGTAAAAATAACAATTAATCAACAATATTTGACTTCTCCTGCTTTCTATAACATTTTGTTTTTGGTATGTCGGCCATTTTGGATGAAAAGACAGGAACTTCCCAGCATGCAATTTTAACCAATGACATATCACTGGAAAGCCCAGGATGTCCTCTGTACAGTACAGCAGAGATTGATAGAGTAGCTCAAAAGAGTAACAGGAGATGCATGTTAACAAAATGTTCACTACAGTGGACATGTATCAATGGGCTGGGTCCCAGGAGGATATGGATAACTTTTCAACGATAATTGCTTTAGCCGTTCAGACATTTGTATTATTTTGAAACAACACAATCCTGCTGGATTCCCAAAATACCTTTTCATTCAGTTTGGACAAGTATGAATAACTGGTGATCGGCCACAGTGTTTTTACCTTCTTGAAGTGAGAGGTAGACTGCACCTCCCTGACAGGCTGCATCAGGGCGTCCCTAACGATAACACTGATGTCCGCCCCAGAGTAGCCCTGGGTCTTTTTGCCCAGATTGATGAAGTCTGCCTCCGTCAGTTCGTTTGGGGTGGAGCCCAGATGCAGCTTGAACATGAAGGAGCGGGCGTGCTCCTCCGGCAGAGGAATGTAGATTCGCTTTTCAAACCTAAGACACAGAAAAGAATCAGTCAACCGTCATGAAGCATTACATCTATTAAATCATGATTGTCATAACTTGCTGACAATTTTACTTGCAATTTAACAACAATAACACTTTAACTGCTCTGACAGCATTTTTTTCTTTTGCAGTGGAAGGAGATAATTGATTTTGTACCTACAGAAAAGATGGTAGAGTCGTGTGGTGTCTTTGGTATTCTTGATGTAGCGTTTATCATTTAATAAGAAGTGCCACATGACACTAAAACAAGTTCAAGACCTTTATTAACAAATTATAAAGTGACATTACAAAACTAATTTGAGACAGCTGGCAATAAATGTGTATTCAAATAGTAGTTACAAATCTAAAAGGAAACACTGTTATGTGTATAAAGTATCATGGAAAACCATCAGGTAGTTGTAATGTTAACATCATCATGACGTAACCTTATGGAACCATACATTCCCTAATTGCACGGTAATTGAATGATTCTAGAGGCATTATTTTTCATAAGTGAAACCAACCTTCTCCTGATAGCGGAGTCCAATGTCCACGGTATGTTTGTAGCTCCCAGCACCAGGACTCCTTCATTATTGGTTCCAACACCTGAGAGGAGAAGGGCATTTCTTACACTTCATAAACAAAGTACTGCTGGCAGATTTCAGATAAGATCCTCAAGTTATCTCTTCTTACTCACCTTGCATCTGGACGAGGAACTCCGTCTTGATTCTGCGCGCTGCTTCACTCTCGTTCTCACTCCTGGAGCCGCAGAGAGAGTCGATCTCATCGATGAAAATGATGGATGGCCTGTTTTCCCGGGCTAAAGTGAACAGGTTCTTCACCAACCTGGATTAAGACAGAAGGGCGGGAACGATAAATGTGTATTGTGCATTTATCATAATCCCAGTTTCACCATAATGTCAACACCCGGCCTTACTTCTCACTTTCCCCCATCCACTTGGACACGAGGTCAGAGGAGGAGACGGAGAAGAAGGTGGAGTTGTTGGCTTCCGTGGCCACTGCCTTGGCCAGGTAGGACTTCCCTGTTCCTGGAGGGCCGAACAGAAGGATCCCCCGCCAAGGAGTTCGCTTTCCTACAATAATAAATACTGTATTAATAAACACTCTTCATTTTCAGGAGCTTTAAAGTTGCCTGTTGTTGGCTCTTGTTTCTAGTACCTTGAAACAGATGAGGGAATTTGATGGGCAGGATAACGGCTTCCTTTAAGGCTTCTTTGGCCCCCTCAAGTCCAGCGACATCGTCCCACATAACGTTTGGCTTTTCCATGACAATGGCACCTGTGAGAGGGATGGGTTTGATAAGCATTTATTAGGTTAAGGCATTAATAATTTCCTGAATTGTCATGCAATGATGATGACATATTTCACTGGTGCATCTGCCTCTATGTTCACTAATGGCACATTTCCACTGCAGCGGGGTAGCCCCGTTTAAGCGTCCTCGCTCAGGCCTCGGGCTGCCTCACTGGCCGTCCGAGGCCGCGGCGCATTTCCATTACAGTTTAGGACCTGGGGTAGCAAGGTAGCAAGGTAGCAACGCAGTGTAGGCGGGGCGATCGGCTTTTTTTTGGCCAATGAGATGTAGGAACGTCGTCACCTCCTTGGTCGACCACGGTGTGCTTTTCTTTGACTTTGCCATTTTTGTAGCTCCTCCGTTTACAAAAATGCTGTGTATATAAATGCTGCAAGCTTGCTTCTAGATATATATATATACGCTGGGGATGATCTAGCGCACAATCTTGTGACGATTCTCTCTGACCAATCAGCAGTCGAGAGTGTTGACGTCACTAGTTCAGCCCTGGCCTGATAGAACTACGATTTTATGGACCCTAACGCTATATGGAAAGGCCGCTTGAGGACGATTAAGGACGCTTAAACGGGGCTACCCGCTGCAGTGGAAATGCGCCATTAATGTAATCACCTGAGAGTTGATCTTTGAACTTCTTTTTCTCAGCGTCATCCCCATCAGCATCCTCTCTGAATTTAAATGACACCAGACGGCATTGTGGTTTATTGACACTTTGTTGAACCCTAGACAATGATTTGTATTGTCTAGGGGGTTGTTGACAGTAACACATGGTTTAACAGAATCCATAATTTCTTAGAAAGAAAATTCTGAGGAAGGTTCCTGAAAAATCCTTGTTTTAGGTGTTCATGTGTTGCACTTTAAATAATATAATTTCCAATAACTGAAACATGAAAACATGTAAAATGTACAGGAAGGTAAACATCAATAACAAATTATAATTAATATGGATTTAAACAGATCTTTAGCAGTTGTTCCAGTCATTAAGATTGCGGTTGTTATTTTGAGTTTAATTATTTTGGAACCAGTTTCAAGTTTTTGAAAACTAGTAAAGATGAACCATAATTATGAGTGTTTTTTTTTTTCCTGATACAGTAAACAATTCTGCCAACGGTTTCACGATATTCAATTTATTTAGATAGCGTAGCGTGCTAATTAACGCAGGAATTAGACAGAAGAGAAGGGGAAAAGGGCAGCTAGGAGGTAACCATAGATGTAAACAATGCAGGTTTAAAAATGTTCAGGCTGTGCAAATGTTGTACCAGGAAGTAAATGCATTGAACATGTTTGTCAAAATTAAAACAAACACACAACAACAAGACTCAAATAACTGCCTTATAACTTATTTTGTAGTACTAAAGACACTGGGACATTGACTCACCCTTTGTCATCAGACTCTTTGACAGGTTTGGCCGGAGGAGCATTCTCCTTCTTCTTCAGATATTCCTTCAGCTGCTCGGCTCTGTCCAGGTACTCGGCACACTTTGCTCTGATGCTCTGCGTCGCTCGATCACCCAGAGACTCGTCTGCAACATAAGAAGAAGCTTAAGATACTGTCTGGAGAAGGGATGTTTGGAAAATCACACAAATACTGTAATAAGTCAAACACAGATAGGCTGCTCACACTTGACAACATGAAGAAAGTATTGCACTGCATTCTGGTATAATTTGAGGGCCTCTTCGTAGTTCTTGGCTTTGTCCTCCGCTGCAGCTTTGCTGGCGAGATCTATAGCTTTCTGAGAACAGACAACATGAAAAAGAAGAATTAAGGAGACCAGCTTGTAATATGGCAAACTTTAAAAGGTTAGTAGGTTAGTAAGGTAGTTACAAGCTAATAAAATGAACAACTTAACCACGGGCGTTGACGTAATAAATGTTGGAAATCTATTAATTAATACTCTGTAGTTATTACATTTATTCCTACACTTAAAAAAAAGTGTTTTTAAGGGGTATTATTCCTAAACCAAATTATTGTTATATGCTTGGGGGTATGGGGATTAGAAAGTGGGAGGAATACCTGTGTATTGCAAATCATGGACTGGATTGAAATAATGCTGAATGTTATCCTACAGCTTTGTGTTGTAAATCGTGCCGGTTTAAAAATTGTAATTGTGAATGTAAGGGTTCCTATTTCCATATTAAACATTTCTGCTATTGTTGAAATCTATAAACATAGTGTAGTTATTACATGTATTCCTACATTTAAAAAAAAGTGTTTTTAAGGGGTATTCTTCCTAAACCAAATTATTGTTATATGCTTTACAGGTTGTAAAGCTGTGACATTGAGCTATATAGATAACTTTTACTTGACTAAATACACAACTTTTTTTGTAATAGGTCAAATTTAAAAAATACTGTGAATTTATTGTTTTAATTGATTAAAAGCTGTTCATGAAATGTTTTATATTAAAAAATATCATGAACAATGTGGCTTAGAGGTGCCTATCTCTTCTGTTTCTTCCACTATCAGTTGCAATACACACACAAAACAAAAAAACATGTGTAAATTAAAAGTATTACGTACATTGAAGGGAATGTTGCTGCGATAAATGTGATCCTGAATCATACCTAACTAATCTAAAACCACGAATAAAGCTTTTACTATCACTTCCAATACTTGGTACGGAGTTAGTTTATCTTAAGGTTTAAATGTAACTGGCTTAACCCGGTGAATTCGCCATTTAAGATGATTAAAAGCTGACGGTAAATGAAAAAGTAGAAATGTTAAACAACTCCTCTCCCTGAGGTCACAGTCTTATGTAACTGCTGAACAAAAGTTTGTCACTCACCTGTAGATTACTACCGGCCATTAGCTTTGGATATGTCGTCAAACTATAGCTTCTCACTTTCGATTAAACTATTTTTTCCTGTTGCCTTCTACTTATTTTAAAATATACAACAACGTCAATCTCAAAACATCTTAAAGCTCTTTCTGCTTCCGCATCAACAAACAGTGGACTGTCACTTCCGCGTCGGTCACGTGATCATGTTTTTGTCCTCTTCAGTGAGATTAGTCATGCTTTTGAAAACAAATATGATCAAATATATTACGTTATACTAATAAGCATATAATAAAGTGTACTAGATAGATGGAACTATTAAGAATGCATTGTTTTATTATGCAGAAAACAATTGAATAATTCAAGCACAATTTATGTTGGTACAGGTGTGGTACAGGTAAATGTAGGGAAACACTGCCGCCTAGTGAGTATTTGTTATCATAACTAAATAATTTAGATATGTTCTATACTGTTGGCAATGTGTTATAAATATGTTAGACAATTACTAACTTAAAAGCCCATTGCACATTGTTATACTTTATATACGAGGTAAAGGAATAAATAACTAAAAGACACATAAATAAAAAAGTACAAGGGGAGGTATGGGGCGGTGGGAGAGGGGGTATGGGGATTGGAAAGTGGGAGGAATACCTGTGTATTGCAAATCATGGGCTGGATTGAAATAATGCTGAATGTTATCCTACAGCTTTGTGTCGTAAATCTTGCCGGTTTAAAAATTGTGATTGTGAATGGAAGGGTTCCTATTTCCATATTCAACATTTCTGCTATTGTTGAAATCTATAAACATAGTTTTGGTGAATTTGTTTGCATGTCCCTGTCGCCTGTTTCATTGTCTTCACACCGTAAATGCTACAAGATTCATGTCCTACCATTTTATTTTCCCTCATGAATTAAATTCCAAAATATTTTAAATGTCAGAGGTGAAAAATATACTTATATTTTGCATATGCAAAGACCATTTTGAATAGTCTGCTACCTCTCTCTAACATCCTCTCCAGCCACATTTTCCCTACTTAAAAGGCGTAATAAAATAGCCTACGCTCACTTTCCAATTACAGCAAATCATATTGTTCCTAGCATTTTTAATATCTGTTTTTTTCATTGATAGTTATCAGGATGAGTTAAAACAAATATTACTTCATTTCTCACTCATTAAATAAACATGCACACTGCCACTTATGGATTGAATAACAAACTTACACTTTATTACAACTATTAAAAAGGCAAATAAAAAGTGTGCAAAATATCTATAATTCTTACAACACCTGGGTTTAACAAAAATAAATGCAAATACTGTAGAACAACAGAGAGAAGGAGGTGATGCACATGGCAGACAAATGCATTTTGGTTGCACATTTTGTTGCTCTATGGAGTCCACCTTTATTCAACATGACAGTTTAATTTCAGTTGTCATCAACAGCAAGCACCATGTACAGTAAATGTTGTGGTTGAATATGTTTGACACTGTATGGTTGTTTAATCCCCCCCCCCTCAGCACCAGTGCAGTACAGACAGGCATGAAGGTAGTAGTTTGGTCGTTCATCAGCTGTCTCCATTTAGGATTTTTGGATGTAACATTTTAAGGATGCGGTCGTTCTTCGTAAGATTTGCAGGGAGTTCATTATTCTGTACAACACACATAAGACAAGATGATTAAGTGATCTGCTCATACTTGTCTGTTTATAATCTCATTTTAAAATGTAAGTGACTACCTTGTTGGATACTGTGGGGTCTGCGTTCGCCTCAAGCAGCAGCAGAACAGTTCGGAGATTTCCACTCATAACAGCAGCATGTAGGGCAGTAGAGCCATTCTGGAGACAACACATAATTCATAATGATATAATTCAAATTCTGCATTCACTGCTCTTTATCCAGAGCATTATGTACAGCAGTGTATTAACAACATAGTGGGTAAAAAAAGAAAGAAAGAAATTGCGGAGTCTGGAGGAAGGTATTCCACCCCTGTATTTTTCTATAAAATGTTATGTATGAGAGAAAACACACATTTTCAAGAAAAAACTTTTGAGATCTTTTTCTGTGCTTCAAATGTATCACTTTGGTATCATAAAATGTTTTATTTATCACATGTTTTGCCCACATCCGAAGACATTGGTATTTACCTACTGTACAATGGCCCTAATATGGACATTTACATGAACCTGGTAACATTCTTCTGAAGTAACTCTTGGCCGAAAGCGTATTTCTCGAAATGTTGAAGTCAAAGAAAGCAGAATTTACCTTGAGGAGACCGACTGAAGGAGAAAACTTGAGAAGTTCCTCAATGACGCTGTTGTGGCCTTTTAAAGCTGCTTTGAATAATGCTGTCGACCCATCCTTAAAAGACAAGTGATAAAACTGTTATCTAACAAAACCATCTCCACTTAAGGTCCTCAAACTCACTTGCTCTGAGGCTCTTGACAATATAACATGATCCTTAAAAGCAGATCAAGTTTGTTCATTTGGAGCTGTAAATGTTCAAACTCAGAGATGAGTGTAAGAGACACTGTGTGATTGCATCCATTAGTAGTTGTTGTAGAAGCACTTATCATTATTTTCTCAAAATGTGAGCAGTGATAACTTAACAAATAGAAAGTATAATAGAAAACCTGAGTTACGGCATCAACAGCAGCAACATAGACAGGTATATTGTAAAGTAACTTATTACATCAAATGAAAGTACCAAGTTATATTTAATATATTACATTTTCAAAGTATCTTGCACAACACAGGTTGGGACCAAGTGGTCTATACGACAATAATCGTTTTTTACACTGTTATGTATTTTCATTTTTTAAAAGAACCTCATACTCTGTCAGCATCCCGATCTGCACCACGTAAGAGTAGCACCCTCACCACCTCGCTGTGACCCATCTGAGCTGCCATCCACAGGGCGGCGGTGCCATCCTGGAGAACACATGGGTGGAGGGGAGGGGGGTTGCAGTGAAGGAGGACATAAGGGATGTTAGAGTCAATGTGGGCATGACACGACCTAAAGAGCTGAATGTTTGAGTGACTGTGACATTTAAATCTGTAAAAACGCTGGAGGCGAGGACATTACCTCCCTAAATTGGTTAACCTTGGCACCAGTTGACAAAAGCTGACGTATCACAGTCACATGACCCTCCTGTGCAGCGAGAAACAGAGGAGTGGCCCCATCCTGAAACAAAAGAATCAACTTTTACACTGTTCTGTCGTAGATGGCTAAAATGATCTCTGAAAGTTTCCAACTAATCAAAACGAGTATTAATAACATATTGCTAAATGACCATTATTTTACAAATACATGTATGTGTGGTTCTTTTTCCTGTGCTCTGAGGACAGAAACTAGTCCTTCCAAATGTCATGTCTGACTCAGCGGTGTGTAGAAACCTGAGTGGCTGGATTCCAGCTGCGGGGACATGGTGTGCAGCTTAAACACCATGTTTCTGACAGACAGAAGTACTGACAGTAAAAAGGGGGCTAAACATGTGGCTCACATATAGCTGGTCGTGAACATTGGCTCCATTCTTCAACAGTGTTTCCACCACCTTGGAGTGTCCATACTGAGAGGCCACCGTGAGAGCTGTGCCCCCGTTCTGCCAACAAACACAATGAAAAACAATCTACCAGGGCGACATAGTTCATAGTAATCACTGATTGTTATACACTGCAAAGAGAAGATCTTTAAAATCTCCAGAGGTATACAAATAAGGATAACAAATTAGATTATTTGTGCCAAATGTTTACATCTTCATCTCTAAACAAAGTGCATCTGAGATGAGCAGCACTCTCCGCCCCACCCACTATTTTACAGTCTGATGCACAGTCATTGTCCTGCTGCATACCTTTGTCTGGAATTCCGTTGAGGCACCAAATTCGAAGAGGAGCTTCACAACATCATTGTGTCCCTGCTGGGAGGCGAAGAACAGGGCGGTGGAACCTGTCTGAGAAGGACAATTGAGAGAGACTTTGAAAGGAAACACAATTACCATGTTTGTATGCATTTTAAATTAGGAAAGAGTTGAAATCTATAAAAGTTTAAGCCTTGCTATGACAAAAAGGGGTCCTATTCTCAATCCCAAGACTGTACGACTGATGATCTATATTTAAAACACAAGGAAGACATTACAGGAGCTACACTGAACAAAAATATAAATGCAACACTTTTGTTTTTGCTCCCATTTTTCATGAGATGAACTCAAAGATCTAAAACATTTTCTATATACACAAAATAACCATTTCTCTCAAATATTGTTCACAAATCTGAAAAAATCTGTGATAGTGAGCACTTCTCCTTTGCCGAGATAATCCATCCCACCTCACAGGTGTGGCATATCAAGATGCTGATTAGACAGCATGATTATTGCACAGGTGTGCCTTAGGCTGGCCACAATAAAAGGCCACTCTGAAACGTGCATTTTTGCTTTATTGGGGGGGTCTGGGGGGGTCCGAAAACCCTAGGGCTAAACCCTAACCCTAACCCTAACATGTCACCCATTGAGCATGTTTGGGATGCTCCGGATCGGCGTATACGACAGCGTGTTCCAGTTCCTGCCAATATCCAGCAACTTCGCACAGCCATTGAAGAGGAGTGGACCACAATCAACAACCTGATCAACTCTATGCGAAGGAGATGGGTGACATGTTAGGGTTAGGGTTTAGCCCTAGGGTTTTCGGACCCCCCCCAGACCCCCCCAATA